GCAGGTGCTGAGGGGGTGCTAGATCATTGACAGAGAGAGCTGGACAATTCAGGGCTCCAGACTCGTTCTTCCCACTGGTCGCTCCTTTGCGATTAACTTTCTCAGTTGGTTGCTTTTTTTTTTGTGCTACAAAATGCTATTAATCAATGCATGCTGATGAACTTTTATCGTAGTTTATAGTTATATGGAAACGAACGTAGTTAAAATTCAACCGGTTCTTTTTCATCAGTAGTATTATTTGTGATTTGAATTTTGCGCATGGTAGTTTCTCATTTGACATGTTATAAACCGGGCTTCGGATGCTTTCACTTTCGATTTCACGATCTTGTCAGGTTTTACAATAAAATATAATTGTCTGTTTTGCTTACATCTATACACCTTTCACCTTTTAAGACTAAAAAAAAGATGGATTCATTATTTTTTAAATGCACAACAATAAAACAGTAAGATTCAATGACAAACTAGCTTACAAAACGTTATTAACAAAAACGAATAAGATGAGGCATGGCATAGCTACACGCTGTATTAGGCTATATAATGACTAATAAATTACAGAACGTTTAGCAAACACTGAGGAATAAAAAGAAAAAGAAAAAAGAGAGAGCCTCCATAGCATAAGGTGAGGTAAACAGCAAAGATAAGCTTTTCAAAATGAAAACAAAACAAGAAGAAAAGTACAACTAAACTTGCTGCCGGTGACAGTTCTTGTATGTTTTTCTCCCCACAAGAATACTAACATGTTCACCTTCTCTGGTTTAAGAAGCGGTCTTTTACTTGACTTTAGCGTGAAAACCATCAATATTCTCGTCATTTTTGCTGAGCGCACCTTCTGCAATTAATAGTAAATATAACCAAAACAGGTTATTATAATTCTTATATGAATAATAAAATAAATATAAGGAAAACTCGCCCACTCGATTTTGTAATATTCTTTTTGTAGTTCGTATGAAAATGTGGATTTCTATTAAAGGCACGTCCATGTGGAGATGGCGAGTCAGCGTCGGCATTCGGCAAACTCATCTTTGCACCCGACACTGACTCAGAAAGCACTAGTTTATTAATAAATAATTAAAATGTCTTCTTTCCCCCCGACACGTTCATAATCACTTTGCCGGTGCTTTGAGGCAATTGCTTTAAGCGCGAGTTTGAGCGCGGAATAGGCTCTAGCCTAATGCGTCTGCCTATAGCCTATTTTGAAGTATGGTTAATATATTATTATATTAATCAATTTAATATAACGTGCGACTAGTTGACTAGAAAAATCTTTAATAGAGGGCAGGCCTACTTAGCACAAGGAAGCTCTCCATTTTTAAAATACAATGCTATAGCCTAATGACATTACGAATAAAGCGACAGCTGCAAATCACGTCGTTATTTCGAGTTATGCATGCATAAGGAGTCAAATGTTGTTGTTGTTGTTTTTTTTATCACTCTAATTAGATTATGAAGAATGATTTGTTGATCTTGTTTTCCCTTTAATACATACCTTGCGCAATATATATTTCAATTACTTTCAAAAAGTGGTAGGGACAATATCGACCCTGGCAAAAAGTGGTGGGGACATGTTCCACCCGCAAATTACGCCTATGTTTACAATATAAATCCAATTGCAGTTGCTAGTGAAAATTACACTAAAATGTTGCAATGACAAAATATTGCACTAAATAAAAAATGCAAATGTTACAAAAAATGGAATAATATTGATGTTGTAATAGAGGTAGCACTAATATAAAAATTTTAATTTTGAAATGCGTTGATAGTTGAATTGTTTTTTTAATTTTTTATCTCAGTGTTCCTATCAATGTTGCATAAGGTTTTTTTATGCATAATAATAACCCTAGAATATGATCAAACAGTTTAAAATAGCTGGGCTTAGATATATAACTATTTTTATGACTGCAGAAATATGGTAATTCGGTACTCACCTTATCCCACAATTGTGACCGACCATAAAACACAATTTTTCACACACTTTTCCAAAAAAAATTCAAACAATAATTATTGATTATTTCAACGGGTTACTAATGACACATAATTTGGATATTTTCATGTCTTGGAAAAATTTGGGATTAAACGGGTTTAGCAAATTATTAGTTGGTTATGTGATTATTCATTTTGTGTGTCAGATGCAATTCTGAATAATTTCCCTAGCTAATGTGAGACCAGTCACTGCCTTTGTTGGTCATGGAGTTGAAACTTAAGAACTAATACTGTGTATTCATGCATGTGTTTGAATAGGAACAGAATTTAGTGATACAGTGTGTGATGACTGTCCTGATGGTTCATATTCAGATGGTACATTCTGCAAATTGCATACAAAGTAAGTTTTTGAAACATTGACTTTCCACACATTCTTAAAATGCATTTTGTACATTTGTTGTTTTATAATTTGCTTCACTAGATTTTGTGAGTAAATTTAGCTCCTTTCTCACAAGCAATATAGTCCTATTTGTAGTTCAACCTGTGCACCACTTTTTAACAGGTGTGAATCTCTTGGAAAAACAACAGTCAAAGCAGGAACTGAGACATCTGATGTTGAATGCAGTAAAGGAACACCTTATTTACAGATTGTGATTCCATCTATGTGCAGAGTGTTTGTGGTGCTTGTCATAATTGCAATTGTTATAAAGAGAAAAGATAAGCATTACATTGGAGCAAGTCAAGTTACTCCTCCCCAAGATTTGGATCTGTACACCCAAGCAGTTTCCTCCAACACAGTGTAAAAAGACTGACATGTTCATAAACCAACAATTAAAGTGATTTGCTTGTGGTCACTGACAATTTCTTATGTCTTATAATTGTAAGTGTACAGCGCATTGTAGTGCCATCCCAAAGGCACAAAATCACTTTTACAGACTCTTAAGCTACCTGTTCCCTGCTGGTGGAATGACCTGCCCAACTTTTGTTCTACTTTTTATTCTTTTCATTTATTATAAATAAAAAAAACTTGCTACTGTGTGTAATGAGTGGGATGTTTAGTCCACTAGGTGGAAATGTTGACGCAAATTGGCGGACTTTCAAACAACAGTTTACGCTGTAAGTTTTAGCTATTGGCCAAGCAGAAGCTGCAGATGAAAGGAAGATTTCTATGTTACTTACTATTGCTGGAGTAGACGCTGTGGGATTAAACAAATTCAGACAGTGTCCAGCATTTGGTAAACGGTGTTCTAAATGTAATGGACCAATTAAAGTACAAGCCCTCTTGGAAATGTCTCCACCTAATGACAAGAAGGGAGTTTTACGTGCTTTAGGTATGGTACATTTCCTAGGAAAATTTCTGCCAAATCTTTCTACTAAAACCACACATATGAGAGCATTGTTACAAAATGACAAAGAGTTTGTGTGGTCTTTCGTACATGATCAAGAATGTAAGAGGTTAAAAGAGATTCTGACTACTGAACCTGTTCTTGATTTTGTTGATTACACTTGTCCAATTAAGATCTCTACAGATGCCTCTCAGGATGTTGAATTGCAGAGAGTGATTGTTCTTCTTCAACAAGGATGGATTAAAGGCAAGTGGTCACAGTATTTTCCGATGAGGGCAGAACTGAGTGTGTGTAATGGCTTGTTGTTGCGTAACAATAGAATTGTTATTCCATTATCAATGCGTCAAGATATGCTTCGTCATATACATGAAGGGCATCTTGATATTGAAAAATGCAAGCGAAGAGCCAGACAAGCTGTTTATTGGCCTGGAATTAATATGCATATTGAGGAATTAATTGGTAAGTGTGATGTCTGTTTGCGTCATCACTATAAACTGGCAAAAGAACCAATGCTGATTACTGATGTGCCTACTCAACCATGGCAAAAATAGGAACTGATCTGTTCCAGTTGAATGGTAAGGATTTTTTGGTAGTTATTGATTACTATTCCAATTATCCTGAAATTGAACAGCTCCGTTATACAACAACGAGTGATGTGACTAATCACATGAAACGCATTTTTGCCAGGCATGGAATTCCCTTCATTGTGCAAAGTGATAACGGTCCTCAGTATAGTAGTCGTGAATTCAGACTGCAGAACAATATGGCTGTAAGCATATGTGATGAACGCTGGGGGAGTTCTTTTCTTAGTTGGGCTTTGGCCCCGCCTATAGGAAGCTTTTTGCAGCATGTTCTCTTCTGATTGACTCTTTTCATTTATTATAAATAAAAAAAACTTGCTACTGTGTGTAATGAGTGGGATGTTTAGTCCACTAGGTGGAAATGTTGACGCAAATTGGCGGACTTTCAAACAACAGTTTACGCTGTAAGTTTTAGCTATTGGCCAAGCAGAAGCTGCAGATGAAAGGAAGATTTCTATGTTACTTACTATTGCTGGAGTAGACGCTGTGGGATTAAACAAATTCAGACAGTGTCCAGCATTTGGTAAACGGTGTTCTAAATGTAATGGACCAATTAAAGTACAAGCCCTCTTGGAAATGTCTCCACCTAATGACAAGAAGGGAGTTTTACGTGCTTTAGGTATGGTACATTTCCTAGGAAAATTTCTGCCAAATCTTTCTACTAAAACCACACATATGAGAGCATTGTTACAAAATGACAAAGAGTTTGTGTGGTCTTTCGTACATGATCAAGAATGTAAGAGGTTAAAAGAGATTCTGACTACTGAACCTGTTCTTGATTTTGTTGATTACACTTGTCCAATTAAGATCTCTACAGATGCCTCTCAGGATGTTGAATTGCAGAGAGTGATTGTTCTTCTTCAACAAGGATGGATTAAAGGCAAGTGGTCACAGTATTTTCCGATGAGGGCAGAACTGAGTGTGTGTAATGGCTTGTTGTTGCGTAACAATAGAATTGTTATTCCATTATCAATGCGTCAAGATATGCTTCGTCATATACATGAAGGGCATCTTGATATTGAAAAATGCAAGCGAAGAGCCAGACAAGCTGTTTATTGGCCTGGAATTAATATGCATATTGAGGAATTAATTGGTAAGTGTGATGTCTGTTTGCGTCATCACTATAAACTGGCAAAAGAACCAATGCTGATTACTGATGTGCCTACTCAACCATGGCAAAAATAGGAACTGATCTGTTCCAGTTGAATGGTAAGGATTTTTTGGTAGTTATTGATACTATTCCAATTATCCTGAAATTGAACAGCTCCGTTATACAACAACGAGTGATGTGACTAATCACATGAAACGCATTTTTGCCAGGCATGGAATTCCCTTCATTGTGCAAAGTGATAACGGTCCTCAGTATAGTAGTCGTGAATTCAGACTGCAGAACAATATGGCTGTAAGCATATGTGATGAACGCTGGGGGAGTTCTTTTCTTAGTTGGGCTTTGGCCCCGCCTATAGGAAGCTTTTTGCAGCATGTTCTCTTCTGATTGAACTCACCTGGAGGACGTTTAAGGAGGAGAACAGGTGAGAGGAGGAACATGGGTTTTTTGGCGCTCAGGGAAAGATGGGGACGTTTGGTGTTGCTCGAGACCATTAGGGTTTATCTGGCAACGCCTTCGCTGCACCCACAATTCTTTGCGTCGCCGTGAACAACCGTTGTTAATTTGAAAAATGCCGGCGCCGGCAGATGTAAAGATGTAACAAGCGCAGATGTGGTGTTTACAACTTACCTTAATTCGCCTCGGTAAAAACGGATAAACTTTGTTTTTAATATCCTCCTCCTTTTTTTCTCTAACAGATGC